TCAACCGGCCAAATTAACAAATTAAATTGCAGTTTGTTTCCATTGTATTTTCAGGCATGCATTATATGAACTTTATATTTTTTTTTAAAAAAAAAAAACCTTCACTTATGGCATACCTATTCAATTCAACACAAATAAATGATGCAACCGAATTCAAAGAATAGAAATCAAAGAAACAATATATATATATATATATATATATATATATAATTTTTAAAAATATATCAAAATAATATTTTTGTATTTTTTAAAATTTATTTTTAATATCAACATATTAAAACAATTTAAAAATAGCACAAAAAATATTAATTAAAAAAAATTTTCAATTTTTTTTTAAAACACTTCTAAAATTTAAAAAAAAAAAACTTGGAAAACATCAAAACAAAGGCATGCATGTACCCGGAGCATGTATATTGAAGTGTTAAAAATAATGACAGGTTCTCTTTCCTTTAACATCTCTTCCAAAAAACTAAACTCGATTAAGCATTCGTTTGAGTTCGATGTTTTCTGGTTTCATCAAAGGGATTTCATCAACGATCTTTTATCTACCTCTTTCATCTCCGGCTAGGGAAAACTGCCCAAGAGTATTTTGTTCTTGTCTTCATTTGTTGGTAATTTAAATTAATTATAACTATTAATTAACTGATCAGGTAAAAAAAGTGAATTATTTTAAATAAAAAATAATAAATAGTGTAGCTAACTTGAACACATTGGCCATGTCATTGAGTATAAACTCGAGAACGGATAAAGATAGAAGTTGTTCCGATCTCTCTCTCTCTCTCACCCCCTTTACGTGCTCTTGGAAAACAACGGCGGGTTTTTGCTCTTTGAGCAGCCGTAGCTGGTTGCTTGGTGCTTCGGCATTTCATTTCATGCATGGTAAACAGGAAAAGTGTTTAGGAAGTATGGGGCAACCAAGCTTAACCTCTGCCCTGTCATAGAATTAATGTGATCTAATCACTGCATTATTAAAATGAAAAGCTAATTAATTTAATCATTTCATGTATAAGTTCAATGTTAAGATGTGTAAGTAATCTCATAATATTTATCAAAACGAAAGATCTATTCATATCATGCATGCGCAGAAGTATATCATTTTCAAACTCGTACAAGCTATATCCAACCCTCTAGGGTAAGATACATATCGTGGATGCGTGGGAATTTCAGTTTCTGATGAGGACGAGGAATGGTTATGTATACCTCATCTGACATTCGTGTTCACATGCTTAATATGCACAGTTCCCTAATGGATCGCTTGGCTTGTTTTCCCTCATAAAATTCTCTCATCCTTCCCAACTAGCTAGTGATATAAGGTAATTGTGTATTTTCTTTTTTAATATAATCGAGTTTACCATTAAAAAAAAACTATGGTAAACTAGAATTCAAGGTAATTGTGTATTAGGGTGGCATCTAATGTTCAATGTAAAACGATTGCATGAAAGATTTTCTTTTGCATGTTGTCTATTAATTAACATGTCTAACCAAACCACTATCGTCGTCTTTAAAAAAAAGAGAGAGAGAGATAAAAGTATTATCAATCTTTTACATGTAATTAAGTAAGGATCTTCATACTGATTGATTGAAAGAAGAAAAATTCTTGCTCTTGTGCGTGAAGAAATGTACTCTCTCTATATGTTTCAAACGAAGGCCAGGAGACTCTATGGATATGGCTTTATTCGAAAAAACTATTATAGAGAGATGATGAGGTTTTGGATCATTAAAAAAACCACAAAACAAAATAAGAAACATGTAAAAACCTTTTCTCAATATCTTGGTACAATTTTATGACGAAAAAAAATAAAAAATATTTAAAAATATAATAATGGTTGTTTTTAAAATATTTTTTCATGAAAAAATACATTAAAATAATATTTTTTTTATTTTTTAAAAATTATTTTTGTTGTTAGCATATGAAAATATAAAAAATAATTTGAAATAAAAAAATAATTTTTTTTAAAATATAAAAACAAACATGCTAAAAAAGACATGCATGTAGCATTTGCTGCCCATATACCTAGCTTATAGATTATAATATACGAATACAATGATAATACCCGCTAAAACAGTATAATTGCTGAAATTGCCACGGGGACTTTAGAAGTGAAAATAAACGTGAACAGAAAGAATCAAAGTAAAGCATGCAAGAAGTAGCTCAGAGGGCGTCATCTATAAATTGTCGGTGACGACACAGCTTTTTAATACTTTATTATTACATAATAACTTAAAACACGTTAATAAATTTGGTCGGTTATATATGCAAGCCAAAAATTCCTTTAAAAAAACAGTTGGGTTGTTATGTAATAGTTACAGGTTTCATGTTTATAGCTGTAACGTCTAAGAATCTTCTTATTCATTCCCCCCTCAAAAATTCATTATGAACTAGATGGGTGGCCCCGACATACGTGCACCTGAATTTTCTCAACATAAAAGGTTGTTAAAGCAACACAAGTACTTTTTAAAAAATTTAAAAAAAAAATTAAGATCCGAGTCATTACATCAATTGAATTTTATAAACTCGGCTAGAAAGAGAGAGAAAGCTTGGAATTGGAAGAAAGGAAGAAAAATCTTGAAATTGTTGCAAAAGGCTTATCAAATTGAATTAATTAGCATTGGTAAAGTATTCTTTCCTAATCATATCCACTCATTTTCTTGTTATTGTCTAGGAAATTGAAAATTTCTTAATTTAAATATTTTAGAGTTTATATAATTTGCTAGGAGAATGATGAATTTATGTTAACTGTTGTTGATCAATTGAGATGTCTATTATATGATTAAGGATTTAATTAGAGAAATTGAAGGCCAGTCATGCAAAAATTAAAGGGTTAGCGTTAGCCATAATTAGGAAATTTGGGATTAATTAAAAATATAATTAAATTGTGTTGGTTTTAGTATTTAAATAATATTAGGTATGTTAAGATTATTTATGATGATGTCATTTTATTACATAAGAATTTACTTCTTGATGTTATATGCATGCATGACAAAAATGCAAAAATTCTAGGGACTTGTGTTGATTTATATTATTTGAATGTGTAGTTATGATTATTTTTTAATTAGAAATATATTAAAATATTTATTTTTTATTTAAAAAAAATATTTTAAATATTAACATATTAAAATAATTTAAAAATATAAAAATATTAATTTAAAATAAAAATAAAAAATTTTTAATTTATAAAAAATATTTTTAAAACAAAAAAATAAACTTCACTCGATTACATTTGAAAATGTTCAGGATGGGGCGCTGAAATATTTTAATGTGAAATAAATGGGTTGACGTGGAATGCAGGGAATATAAAAATGGGCAGTTCTATTTCACATATATCTTCACTCTCTTGTTCATCTTACCTTTTGACCTACTTTTCTTTGTTTCAAGTTCAGTTTTTTCACGAGCTTTTTTTTCCTACCTTAGAGTTAAGTTTCTATTGTTGTAAAGATATATTGAGTTACATTTTTATTTTTAGAGTTCATGAATTTTATTTAGAAATGCAATTAAAGAAGATAGTATCTTTGAAATTTTAAGAAATTTATTAACATCATTCAATTTACTTAAAAAAAATAAAATCTTAAAAATAAATAATTGATAATTAACAACAATAAATTTTCAACTAAATTAAATTCTAAATGCTTTAACAATTAAATATTTTAAACTGTTTTTACTTTATTATATACTTAGTATATATGTTATGATTTTTTCTTCATTACAAGCTTTTAATGTATATATTTAATATACATGCGGGTGCGTGTATTGATCCCTGATCTGTTTATTTTATTTCATTGATAATAAAAACCAAACATAATAATTATAACTTTTATTTTCCCAACACAATCCTAGTTCACTTTTGTAACTAAACGCTAATTATAGTGTGCACAAAATCTTTGATTGATGCATTTTTTTTATCGCAAACAATTTGTTGTCAATTGATCGCTTGCACACGCTTGCTTGCTTGAATTAAACATAATACACTTATCATGACCATGGGTGAACATATATATATATATAAACCTGGAGAATAGTACATGGTATAATAATATTTTTATTTTAAAAATATATTAGGAAAGCTAGAGTTACATATTTTCTTTCCAATACAATTTTGGGGCGTGGAATTCGAAACTCATCACTAACAATTTTTTAAAAATAGTATATTTATGTTTGATTAATCTTACTTACGAAAAAACAAAAGTATCACGGGATTTAATCATGAACAAGTATATTATAGGTATTTTTAAATATGTGTGGATATAAAAGACGCAATATTCTTTTTTTTTTAATTATGTGTGTGATTAATCTATTTATACAATTATTTTTAAAAATAAAAATAAAATTCACCGTAACCTTAGATTTCATGTGAAAAAGGTTAAGAATAACATGATGGTATGGTGAAGTATTGACTATTGGTTTGAATTTATAATTTGAATGGAAGTCAGTGAGTGGTTAATTTTTTTAAAAGAAAATTGGTGTAACCCAGTAAATAATTGCTCATCCGTGAAAAGCACTAATATTTTATTTGTTTTTTATTTTAAAAGTATTTTAAAAAAAATAATTTTTTAATTTATTTTTAATTAATATTTTTTGATATTTTTAGATATACTGATGTAAAAAATAACTTTTAAAAAATAAAAAAAAAATATTTTAATATATTTTTAAATTAAAAATATTTTAAAAAATAATTACAACCCTCCTTTCAAACATTCTTTATAAACCTTCTAACTAATCTCTCATCTCTTCCCATAAAAAAGATAAAAAAAATATGCATGTAATAATAACAACAATAAAAAAAAAAAAAGTGTTCTCTATAATGTTGGGTTCAAGTTGTTAAATCCAGGCCCTTGTGACAAAAAGCGAATAATAGAACGTCGTAAATACGGGTAGACATCACTTGAAACAGAATGCCCAAATTGACCCAGCCCCAGCCCAAGAATCCACGGTGTAGAGTAACGGACAGTTATTCTAGCTTCAACCACCAATCACTATCAGACAGTCCACAACCTCCAAATCATCATCAAGATCAAAGGACATCCACAGCCCATCACAGCCATCACAGCCGTCCATCAAAGCTGAAAAAGGAATAAAAACCCAGTCAAAGAACCCAACAACCCCACCCACGCAAATCGGCAACCCCACCCCGGCCGGCAAAATCTCACGCGCTTTATACAAGCCTTCATTCTCTCCAGTGAGTCTCCCGGATCCCAACAGAATAACAAACTCAAAACCCAAAATCTCCCGAAAACCAAACCCAACAAACGCAAAACCCCAGATTGAAAGTAAATTTTAAATAATGATAATAATAATAATAAATAAATAAATTGAAGCTGGAAAATCGGAAGGAGAAAAAGAAAAGTCTCCTCCTCCTCCTCCTCCTCCTGAGATGGCTTCGTCGAAGGTGATGGCGTCGTCGAAACCTAGAAATTCGGATCTATCTTCAACAACTTCATCTCGATCGCGACGCGCTATTTCTTCTTCCCTTTCTGCTACTACTACTACAGAAAAACTAGCTCATCAATCTACTGACCAATTATTCCAAAGAGAATCGACAATGACAGTAGATGGCATCTTACGTAACGTATACGCCTCTCCATCAACTGAATCGACTCTCCTCGGCGCACAAATAACCCTAATGGAAACTCCTAACCCTCCCCCTCCTCCACCAATCGAGACAAATGGTACTGATAATCAGGATATGAGCGATGTAATTCCACAAGAGACTAAGACTGCGGATGATATATGGAGAGAAATTGTGGCAGGAAGGAAGGAAATGAAGGACGAGCCAGATGAGATGATGACCTTGGAGGATTTTTTGGCTAAGGCGGGGGCAGTGGATGTGGTTGGAGAGGATGGGGATGATGTGAAGATGCCACAGCCTGAGAGGATGAGTGGAGGATTGTATGCGTTTGATCCTGTCCCGCCTAGTGCATTTCAGGTGTTGGATAAGGTGGAAGGCTCCATTGTTGGGTTTGGGAATGGAGTCGAGGTGGAGCTTGTAGCTGGTAGTGGTGGTGGTGGTGGTGGTGGTGGAGGAGGAGGAGGAAGAGGGAAGAGAGGGAGGACGGTCGTAATGGAACCCTTGGATAAGGCTGCGCAGCAGAGGCAGAGGAGGATGATTAAGAATCGGGAGTCTGCTGCCCGGTCTAGAGAGAGGAAGCAGGTCAGAGGTTTGTGTGTGTGTGTGTATGTGTGTGGGCACGCACGCTTTGTCATGATTGATTGATGATACTGATTCAACAATTGTGGGTGTTTTAGGCTTATCAAGTGGAATTGGAGTCTTTGGCAGTGAGGTTAGAGGAGGAGAATGAGCAGCTGCTTAAAGAGAAGGTAATTCAACTTGTATTATTTTCAGCATAATTTGGAATTATGAATTCGGTATTTGTTTTCTTTTTCTTCCTTGTTAGTATAACCTTATTAAATCACAATTTGGTACTCATTGAACCTTTTCCCTGCTATTTGGGACACTTTGGGATAGTCAAATAGTCTGAGCTTTTAGCTTTGTGGTCATGGAGATTGTAGTTTGCAGTTTGCTGTTCGATTATTGCCTTCAACCCTATGTTGTGTGAGTTACAAATAGCAACACAGAAGCTTATGGTGGTGATGTTTTCTATGTTCGCTTTAGCCAAGACATAAATTGAATTTGGATTGTCCAAATCATGGCAGCAACGAGAAGAAAAATAACATCAGCAATGCAAGAACCAAAAAGCTATCCAAACCCAGTGGCATAGGGCTGCTGCATTGATCAATGATTCTTACTTTGCTCACTAAATTAGTTTTAAGACTTGTAATGTAGGTATATTAGTTCTTGTGTCCTGATTATCTGTTGTCATGTCTTATGGATCCTACTTTCTTAGAGTGTGTTCGAAATCCATTATTGTTCTTAAAACTATTCAGAATGGCTTAAGACAATTGAAATGGGTAGAAATAAAAATCCTTAGGCATCACTGTACATGTCAGACCTATTACCCTTTGATACGCAGGATAGCCCTGCTGCATCTAAACATATGTGAATTCAGACTTGTAGATTTAGATAGTATAAAATAAGTTAAACAATATGCAGCCAATTTCCACATTATGTTTGCACTGGCTTGCTCCTGTCTCTTTCATAAGCTTAATGTAACGGAGACTTTGTAATCTTTTTATGAACTTAATATTCTATTTACATTGCCTATTGGTACTCACTGCTTAGCTAGTAGCTGTTTTGCTTATTCCTTACTGTCTCTTTTTCATTTCTTCTATTCAGTCTCAAACACATGAACATCTCATAATGCTTTTTCCCAGGCTCTATTACAAAGAAAATGTTACTTTGTTAGGACCTAGTGCCGTGCTGTTGAATGATGCATTATTTTCTTTGAAGTGGATACACAATGGCACATTGAGAGTTTATCAGCTTTGTTTGCATAAACAATTAATGGTTAGCATTATTTAAAATTTTAACTGTAACAATCAGTGTTATACTTTGAAGTTAACACCAATAGATACTTCATCATGGGTCATGGAGTTATTCCCAGCAGGTATAAATTGCCATGCTTTTCTGGTCTCTCCTGGGCCTTATATGTCTAATTTGTCTGTATCTATTTATTAGAATTTATTTAATTAGAAAAGATCTCAATGCGTGTTTCATCAGAGGCATATGGTGATCTACTTATTCTGCATGCCACAAAATGTTTTGGTGTGTTTTCTCTTGTCCAACAAAATCTGTTCATTATGCAGGAAGAGAGGACCAAGGAAAGGTTTAAGCAGGTACTGTTTCTCTTCTGTTACTATTTTATCACACTGAAAACACTAAAACCCTGCTATAACACTGTATGAAGTTTGGAGTATAAGTGAAATGCATTGAACACATAAAAATGGAAATGTGTCAGTAGAGGAAGAAACACTATGAAATGTAACTTCTGAAAGACACTGGTTTCACTTGGATTTCTTGTTTAGGATGATAGATGCTTTAATGCATATTGTTTTAAAGGTGTGCTTGACTTTGGTTTTGAATAACAGTCCAGAGCAGCTTTTCCAAAAACTTGGTTTTAGGTGTGTTGGGGTTCTAATAATAATGTTAAAAGGTTAGCAACCTAATGCTTTGAGTTTTGAAAAACCATGGTTGGGGTTGAAACTATCCCCTTGCCATTTATGGAATGAAGTGGACTTGTGTGTCTTTGCTTAGGACTTCAGTGACATGGTTGTATGTTTGTGCATATACTTTTGCAGTATGGATACATCCATATGCCCGTACATTGGGTGGTGGGATTATGTATTGTATTTGTATTGATGAGCTATACTATACTTGAAAACTCAAGGGAATAACTAGATTTGGTTGGCACAGGAACCCTCATTGTCTTTCTGAATCAGGTTCTGTTCTACTGGATAGGTTTTGAGGGGGAATTATTGTATTAATGGACACTGGGTTTGAAAACAAACCTATGTTCAGAGGTTTGGTAGCGCTATAGGATTCAAGAACTCTTAAAGATTCTGAAGCTTAGAAGTTTTGAAACGTTTACAATTGAGGAAAGTGGAAAATGAAAGCATCAGAATTTAAAATGAGGAAACATTGAAAATTGTTGAGAAATGCTTATCAAATTGTTAAGGAGCCAAATTACCTTCTGGACAACAAAATTAAAATGTTAGTTGCATTAAAAAGATGCTTCATTGAAGAAAGAAATGGAGAAAATAGAGTAATTCAGGGATATGAAAGGGAGTTTTTGTAATAGAGGTCTCAATTCTTTAACTATTTGTACACATCCATTTTGGAATTGCTATAAACAATCTTTTTTTAACAACATATTTGGAACTAATTCACTATCAAAATTGAATTCAATTATCGTGTTCAAATCGACTCCAATTAATAAGTAAGTTGAATTAACATGTTTCGAAGAGAAATTCTATCACTATATTCAATTGATTTTGTTTCTCATATTACTCTCAGTTCCTTCCTCTTATTCCTTCAAAAGTTCTCTCAATACATTAGATATTTCCAACAACAAAGAAATCACCTCCTTTAACCACCACAAACCCCTTCTCTCTTTCTACCTCCAGTTCTCCACCAATGTCTTCACCACAAATAACCCACAAAATCAAATCCAAACCCTTCGAATAGAAATTAGAGATTTAAATTATTGACAATCAAAATAGTTCCAAACATGAGATCTTATTAAAACCTCTAAATTGAATTCAATTCAAAGGTTGTAAACATGTACTAGTTTTTGAAAGACAATGTTGAAATGGGTTACAGTAGTACAGATTCCACCTATTCTTAATTGTTAACACTAACCCATTGAATATAATGCAAAATGAAATTGTGCGTTTTATGCTTTAAGGTTTTCAGGTCTTAAATTACTGTATGCCAATTGTGAATATTTTATTTGAGCATTCGGTAGAGACTAAATGTAGTGGTAGCCGAGGTAGACTACTATATATAGTAGCATGGAAGGCATTTATTCTTAGAGATGATTCATAGTTTTGACGACTCTGAGCTTCATTAATTATATATAGAGCCATTGATTCTTTTTCAGATCCCTTTAGTGAGCATTCACAGGACGAAGACCATTTGAAATTGTTGTTGACTTTTTATTTCTATTTTTATTTTATTTATTTATTTTGTTATACAGCTTATGGAAAACGTGATTCCCATTGTTGAGAAGCGAAGGCCAAGACGCATGCTCCGGAGAGTCAACTCTTTGCAGTGGTAGATTGTTTGTGCTCGAGGTGATTATTCATATGGTTCTCATAAATGGAGGAAAAGCAGCATCCTCCCGGAAATTCATTTTCTAGTGGGTTAGATTGTGAACCCAATCGCCATTTGGAGCAACCATGGTTATTCATGTGGGGA